GGACTTTTACGATCACTAGATAGATTTAGAGGATAGGAGAAAAACAGACAGAAACAAGGGATTCTGAGACCAGTGAAAGGAGTATTCTCTTTTATTGAGAGGTACTCATTGTACCTCCGTGCAATGCTTCGAATTACAGTACTCCGAAGACTTATTAGGCCTTTTTTTCTATCTCAACAACCGATTGCTACTGGCACACACTTAACTATAAAATTGAATATGAAAACTTTTCATAAGTTACCTCAATGGTCAAATAAAATTGCAGAAAATTGTCTCCCTTGAGATAAAACGTATAAAAAACGTCACTATCTAAATAAACATAAAATCATTCGCATATCATTAAATTTGTTAGTAAATTAAAATGTTCTGGTTGTAGATAAATTTTTATTTTGGGCTAATAATAAGAAATATTTGATCTCAAAAAGGGTTATTTTGACTCCCAAATATCGATACAAGTTATACAGTAACCATTTCATTAGCAAATATATCTAGATTAGGTTTTAATGGCAAGACAAAAAGACTGGTCATGTGGCAGCGTCCACAACGTAAAATATTCTACCAAAATACTCGAATTCCATACACTGACCACATAGGTCTTTCAATCATATAATGACTATTTTTTTTACTATATCCAAGGTTTGAGCGCGTATAATCAGTTAACGAAAAGTTTACATTTATATTTTCAAGTAGGGGACCTAATGAACACAATGTAGATATTCTGATTCCAATAACCATAAATATTGTTGATCGACTAGAGTAATCCCAAAAAAGGATTTTAGAACTAGCAAACTGTGATGACTCTAATTGATCACAGGAGAGGAAGGAAAAGCCAGAAGAATAGAGGGCAAAGAAAGAGAAAGTGAAGATGTGGATGACATCAGTAGATAGAGTTTGTGGCAATGCTACGAATTACAGTACTCCGAAAACCTTTTATGGGTTTTCTATCTCTACAGACGATTGCTACTGGCATACTACCTCAACAATAAAATTGGATATAAAACTATTCCATAAGTTACCTCAGTGGTCAAATAAAATTGCAGAAAATAAACGTCACTATCTAAATACAAAAAAAAATCATTGGCATATCATTAAATTGGTTAGTGAATTAAAATGTTCTGGTTGTAGATAAATTTTAATTTTGGCTAATCATAAGAAATATTTGATCTCAAAAAGTGTTATTTTTACTCTCAAATAGCGATACAAGTTATACAGTAACCAGTTCATTAGCATTAACAAATATATCTAGATTAGGGTAATGGTTATGTAGGCTGGATTCGGCCAGTGGTTTAAGTGATACCCTCGTTCCGGCTGTGGCGACATTAAAAAATGCTGAAATAATTCGAAAGATTCTCACAACCTCGTGCGTTAAAAGCCACAAAAACGTTTACATTCGCAGGCAAACTTTTATAAAAGTCTATAAATGAAAAAGGAAACAGAGCAATTTAAGTGCGAAAATTAACGAAATCCGTAAAACAATTAACACCAAAAACCAAACTTACTAAAAATGACAATTAAAAATGCAACTTTATGTTATATATTAATATCAAAAAGTTGAAAATATTTCAAAGTTGTGTTCAAGTAACTAACTTGAAAATTCAACATACTAACTTGAAAATTCAACATACTAACTTGAAAATTAAAAAAAAAAATGAATGGCCCTAATACGCTTCCGCAGATAAGGACTAGTTATTGGAAATTTTCAGATAAAATCGGGTGGTAATTATTTTAATACAGTCTTCAAAAGTTACAAAATGTGTATATTGTTGAATTAAATCTGTAAAAATCGAATCGAAAGGTACCGTTCTGTAAAATTTGAACACATACAATCGGTCAACGAAAAGTTTACATTTTTGTCAAGTACAATAAGTGGCAGGGAACCTAATGAACACAATGTATATCGACATTAACCACTTTTTATACCCTAGAAAATTTAAAGACGGTGGGAAGCAGAGATACGAGTAGAAAGGAAAGAATGCACAGGGTAAGAAGATATTAAACGAGTAGACAGGGAGAGTAGAGATAATATACTGGAGTTTTTTAAAGGAAATGAGGTAGAGAACGGTAAGTAGTGAAAAAAGAGTTTGTAGGTGGCAGTAGAGAGATTAACATGACCGACAGGAGCTAGGGGTCCTGACATACTAGTGAATGGGATATTTCTTTTATAATGAGAGGGATTCATAGTTCCTCCGTACAATGCTTCGAATTACAATACTCCGAAGACTTTTCGAGGGATCTCTGTCACCTTTACTAGTTGGATACAGAAACTTTTCGTAAGCTACCTCAGTGGTCAAATAAAATTTCAGCAAATTGCCTCCCTTGAATAAAAATTTCCTATTCGTATATCATAAAATTCGTTAGTAAATGTTAAAAGGTGGAAGAATATAGAAAATGTGAAGAATTAAAGAGCTCATTTCTGACAATTCTAAGGTGCCAAAAACGTATAAAATCTTTATATTTTTAATTTTCTACGAAGACACTGGAAATGAATCAATCTTTGCTGAGCTGAAGAAGGTTTTTCTAGGGCTTAATTCTCACTTGCTGGGGCCCAGCCACTACGGAAGTACCCACCCTAACGACGGTGCTCGGAAAGTAGAGATATATGAGAGACGAAAAAGAAGGAGACAGGGAAATGAGAGGAAGTGGGAAGTAGCGAGGAGAGGAATATAGAGTAAAGATCAATTATCATACAGAACAAAGAGTTCGTAGGAGGCAAATTACACAGTAGACAGCCGATAATAGGAGTGTAACAGAGACTTATTCGATGGATCAGGCTACTAGAGCAAGGGGTATTCTCATGACCTGAGAGGTACTACCCATACCTCTGATTGAAATACAGTCAACGAAAATTGGATTTACAAAAATTCACCAGCAACCTTAGTGGTCAAATAAATCTACAGAGAATTACCTCCCTTGAAGTAAAACGTATATAAAACGTTACTATTTAATATTTTTATTCGCATTTCATAAAAATTTAGTAGCAAATCAAAATGTGCTCGAAATGTATATACACCACATAGGCGTTTCAAATACAATATTGTCGAGCATTCTGATCGATACCCCAAGATTTGAGTGCATATAATCAACAAAAAGTTTACATTATTTTCAAGCACGATAAGTGGTAATGACATCGACATTATAGCTTCAATAACCACTTTTTCTACTGTAGAAAATAGTAACCACTTACAATCGTCTTGGGATTGACTCCCAACTCATTCCCCCGCGTACACGTAGGCTACTTTTCACAATTATGTGGATAATGTAGGCTTATAATCTTTCACCATTTGTGGGTGGCAAAACGCACACGAAATCATACTCTTTACTAAATTTTTAAAGCAAATTACGGATAACATTCGCACCAAAAACAAACTTACCTTACATGGCCGCTCTGCTCTGCTCTCAAATTGAAAATGACAAATAAACAGAGCAACTTTCTTATATTTTGTAACGCGGACGTTATAGTAAAACAATGACGTGACGTCATAGTCATCAAAGATGAAATTTTAGAAAGTTGAAAATATTTTTTAATTGTGCTTGTTTTTACTCAAAAAATTCAAAATTTCAAGCAAATATTTATTAAAGAGCTAGTAAATGGTGATTTTCATATAGTATTAGGCAATATTCATAACAATATATTTTCTGCATGTTATCGGTGTTGTAAAATGTGAATTCATTCCTTAAAACTAGAAATAAAGAACGTACTAAAAGCAGTTGGGGAGCTACCTAGGTTAGGTATGTGTTTCACACTTCCATTCGAATCACCTCTACTCACGAAAGTAGGCAACCTGGTTAAAATATACATGTAGATTGTTTCGAGCAACACAATCATGTTCTTGAAGATAAACTAGCCAATCAATAAAATGCTTTGTTCATTGAAAGTGAACATTAGGAATTTGAATATTAATTGCCTAACATTTACTTGTACATTTTAAGCATTGCTTTTGACGCTTTGAAATAAATTATAGACTAACAGTTTACGTTAGGTCAAATTTCGATTTAGAAATGAATTTCGCCAGATCAGAAAATTCATCTATCCATTTTTTATTATCATGAATGTAGGATTTACACTCGATACTTGGTAATCTGAGAAGCCAGATCAGACATTTCCAAAAGATACTTGAAACTTGGTGGAAGATCCCAATAAACAGCAACGTATCATATACGTTTGACTTCAATGGAGATAATTCTATACAGGAGATAATTCTATGCATCTATTTGACCACTGAGGCTAATTATGAAAATTTCGTGAATTTTAGTCGATAACAGCAATCATGGTTATCAAATGAAAGCCGGCGAAACAAAATACATCTTCGGAGAACTGTCATTCGAAACATTGCCAGACCTTAGAGTTAGTACTGATAACTCTCTCGTTTTAACCCTCCTGTCTCTCCACCCATCTCCTTATACCCTCTTTTATTCAAACCGTTCCCGTTGATGTTCTTCGTGTTTCTAAATCTACTCTCTTTAAGTACTCCCCTTATATCATCCTCCATCTTCTCTCTTTCAATCTGAGTATCATCTTCCGTCTGTACTTATCCTGTCTCGCCTACTATATTTTCTTTCCCCGGTCTGTATTTCCTTTGATATCCAATTTAAACGAGAAGTAACCCTCTTTACGACCCGATCCCACTTTCATTGATTTTGGAAGTTCTGTCAAAACTGAGTGCAGCGTAAATCAATAAAATCTTTTATGACACTTTTAGACCTTGACTTGAAACACAATCTAACTTTATTTCTAATCTGTATATGAGCCTATTTATTAATATGATTAATGAATTGTCTTCAACTTAAACAATAAAATTGATTGGAATTGGAAATATTGACAACCATAAGTTATCAGTTTGTCATCGAGATCTCTGCAACTAAAATGTAATGCACTGAGATCTTCATGAAAATAACTACAGAAAATGTTCAAGCTGAATTTTATACTGTTGACATCTTCACTCATTTTGGGCGCTCAGACGCAAAATATATATGAAGAAACAGTCAGATTGAAAAGAGATCTTTTTACAAACTATAGTGTAGACATCAGGCCAGTGAAAAATGACCAGAACGCAGTAAATTTGGATGTAAAACTTAAGGTGGATGACGCATTTCTTCGGGGCTTTGTTTTAACCTCGAGAATACATCTGAAGATCTCTTGGCTAGATGAGATTCTGCCATGGGAATCTGGAAATTATACAAACATAACTTATCTTCATCGGAAAGAAAATGAATTGTGGACGCCCCGTTTTCAAGTGTGGAATTCCGTCTCCGATGGAAACTTCGAATGTTATGACAAAGTGGTCAAGATTTACAATGATGGTAAGGTTGAGTTCGATTGTCGGTCAACTTTCAGAGTCAGATGTGAAACAACATTCGTGCGATTCCCTTTCGATGGACACGATTGTGAAATTCTGCTTTATCTTCCCGATTATGACACAGAAGAAGTTAAAATGAGGACAACCACCATAGAAAAGCGCAAATCAAAAGAACACCATTCGAAGAGCTGGGAAATGGACAACCTCCGTGTTCGACCATCCGAATTCCACCATTCAAATTCTGCTGCTTTATCAGTAACATTGAAGTTGAAGAGGAATTTTCTGTTTCATCTGGCATTTTCAATATTTCCAGTCATGTTGGTATCGCTTCTGGTTCCTCTGACGTTCCTGATTCAAGACACGGCTGTTAAGATCTTGTATTCCCTTCTGGTGTTTCTACTGATGATTTTGCTGGTGTTTCAGATATTGCCACATCTACCCAAAACATGCAACTGTACTTTTAATCTTTATATTGGATGTCTGCTGTTCCTGAACTTCATGAGCATCATTATATCAGTAGCAATGTACAAGCACATGTACAACTATCGGAGTCCACGGGTACAGGAAGCACAAACACCACCAGATGAAAGTCGATTACAAGACTTCGTTTATGATTTTAGACATCCTCACAATTTCCTGTTTTATGAGAAGATGCTGAAGAAGTTGATGAACAGAGGATTTTTCACCTGTTGTTCACCAAGCGTTGACGACGTTTTCTCAGCTGAACTGAAGACTTATTTCAAAAGCAGAGCAAAGAAGAACAAATTTTCCAACCATAAATTGTTCATCGTGTTTGTGGTGATTTGGGGCGCTCTCACTGCGTTATATTTGGCGAAAATCTTTCAGATTATCTAATGCTTTAATATCGGGCATGATAACAATAGAGATAAGCCAATATGTTGAAAAAAGATATTGAAATTAACAGGATGTTTCACCTTGTGTTAATGCCTCGTCTGACAACTTTTATGATCACAATACGCATTTCGAAGCTTTCTGTGTTATCTTTTGCAAGAATTACTGTTTACATTCATGGAGGGTGTTTTTATAGGTGGTATTTACCACCAGAATGGGAAAACATTTCTATTCTTTAGGTTGGCCTCTTTAAGATTCTTCACAGAAGTAAGAATTTTATAGACATAGATTAAAATAAAGAATCGGCATCAATTTAATGAAATCTTTTATTAACAAAAATTCTCTATAAGCAATTAATCCAATTGCAGGAGGAAATTTTAATTTGTATGTTAAAATCAGTTTTTTACTAGACGATGCAATAATTCAATAATTCGACCAAAATCATTACAGTTTACTACGGGAAATTCATTTTCTTTGACAGCAATAATGAGACCAGTCTCGAAATCTTGTGATTATTTAGTGTTTCAGCCATCTGATATAAAATTGGTCATTGTTTTCCAGATTTTTTTGCCAAATCTTCAAATTACATTAAAGAGATAGAAAAGAAGTTTTCTTAACTTTATGTGTTCAGGAAACATTAATAGCATCAATTTGCACCATTTCAATTTTTCAGGCATTTCATTTTTGTGGCTCTTGCAACTCCATTGAATCTGGGAGTTTTATGACGTAGATATCACAATAGCTCTATTCAACAGCTGCTGCATGGAATTGCAAGACTCATAGATATGCGAATAATAATTGGAACGATGTAAATTATATGAGTGTCTCCAATACACTACATCTTAAAAAGGTAAATTTTATATTCAATATTCAAACACACTACATCTAAAATTCACTGAAAAGTCTTAGGAACCCGTCAAATCAATACAATAAATATTTTACTTTATAGGATATAGTGACAGACAGTCCAGGTTCCATAGTAAGCCTTTGTAAAATTGCAAACCAAATCTGATCTTAACTTAAGTGCTGTGGATAACTGAAATTGAGCTCTCTCAGCTGGTATAGCAAGTATTAGATGGACAGCAAATCCAGTGACTTAAGAACAATAGTTTCCTTTGTATTTAACACGCTTTATTTTCATAAATTACCTCTACTTTGGCAAGTTGATAAATAAAATAATTTGAAATTAATAATAATCATGTTGAATGCCTCATGGCAAGGTATAGAAAAGCAAGGCCTGTATGGTGGTGAAATGGTTTATGATGACTGCTTAAAATGAATCAAAACCAAGATACAAAAAGCTCACATGACAGAGTCTTATCAAAATAAGGCAACATTTGCAGTGTGTGACACATAACTTGCTATACAATGACAACTTCTATCTAGAACACTATTTGGTTGATGTAAATAAAATAATCATCATAAAGTATTTAAATATGAATTCTAATGTATCATTTTAAAACAGTTTCTAGAATTTGAGTTGAGTTTTTGTAAAAAAAAAAAATATAGGCTCCAGATTTCCCATAAAAATGTTGATTATCAATATTTACATTCATAAAATTTCAGAAAGGATTTCAAAGTTTTTCATTATCTGCTAATTTCAAACTGGAAATATCCAAGATGGATCAATCTTGGTCTAAAAAGTGTTTTGTTTTGTAATTTTTTCTTCAATTTAATGCATCATTCATTATTTAGCAATGCAGTACATGCCAAATATTAAACGTTTTTGATTGGTGGGAATAAATAATATAAATAATGATGACAAAATTCCATTGAACTCAATGTAGAGGACAATTTTGACAGAACATGGCCGGCGAGTGTAGTATTCTACAGAATCGAAACACCTTGATTCTAATATTAATCAGATCAAAGACAGAGATTAGGGACCCATTTCACTAAAATCTTACAATGGTCAATCTTACAACGGTCAATTCTGTCTGAGTAAAGTATATCTCAATGTAAATTTTCACACTTACAATATATTCTTATCCTAAGATATTGTGAAATGGGTCGGAAAATGGGATATTTCAGAAAATTTCTGAAATAAACATTAATAAAATGTAATATGAAGTTTGAAATGTAAATATAATATGAAGTTTGAAATGTAAATATAATATTGATATGTAAATGAAATAATGAAGAATAAACATATATATCACAGATATTTACAATCAATAACAAATAATTCACCTGCTCATATTTCTTGCTAGAGTGACACTCAAATTAGTGGTGTTTCTTCACAAAATCCAAAATCTATTAAGCCCTTGTAACTTTTCTTTAAAGGGATTGTTCAGAGATTTTCCAAACTTTTCATGTGTATCAAGAACATTTTAAGCATTGATAGGCTCCATTACAATTTTTAATTAAACATTTGCGGTTCCTGCAATTCCACTAAAACTAGGTGTTTTATAACATCACTATTGCAAAGGGATATATGATATAAACAGATTTTGCAATAGTTTGACTGGTCTTACAGGAATCACAGACATCTGATTGAAAATTGGAATAGTGCAAATTGATGCTATCAGTGTCTCCCATGCACATAAAAGTTTAGAAACCTCTTTACAATCTCTTAATGATTTTCAAATATTTTAGAAAGGTTATTCAAGAAATCATATTCAGAATATTAACTTAATAAACATTCTGACAAGTCATTAGAAACATCTAAAACACTTAAATGGATCATATTATTTGCATATAGACCTATAAAAAATGACTACCACGGCTCCTATTAATGTTTTGAATGGCTCCTGTATATGTTTACTTAGATTATATTTTCTAAACTATAACAAATAGTGCTACACCAAATTGACATGGCACCAGTTTCTCAAAACAATACAATGTTTGAAGTACAATTTTCATAATTGTGTGTACTTCAGATACATTTCAATCTGAGGATTGTTTGAGAAACCAAGTCAGAGTATTTAACATAATGCTTATTGAAGTTTCTAAAATAATCATGAAAAATTTACTTTCTAAAAACTAATATAAGGAAAACTTATTTCTAAAAGATACCAAAATATTTGTTTTAACTGTCTGCATACCTTTTCTTCATTGCAATTCATCGAATAAGTACCAAGGTTTAAGAGGTTTATTAACATTACCATAAGAAGCTATGAAAGATGATAATAGCACTTGTAATTGTCCAATGATGACCTTTCCGACATATTAATTTTTGGGGAAATTGAATTTAGAATCCAAGAGGTCCTATCATATAAAAATAAAGCAAGGTTTTTTTTTAAAAAAAAAGAAATTAATAGTAACAGTAATAAAAACATTAAGTATTTGGCCTGTTGAAAAGTTATTCAAAAAGAATTTCTATTACTGACCATTAGAGACGGAGCAGACAAAATAATGTTGTTAGCCATATGACAAACCATGTGACTAGAGGCATCAACTGTTCCAGAACTATTCAGGAAGGGTATATGAGATTTTTGGATTTGGACTTAAAAGCCCTTTTAAATCAATTTAATTATATTAAACTTCACAAACTGTCAGACACTGAACACATCTTTTTAATTGAGTGGAAAGGAACATCAGTTAGTGAGACTTTAACAAAGTGAAAGTAGTAAAGTTGAAGAATAAATAAATGAATTAACAAAAATATTAACAATTTAAGTTACAAAACAAAATGTGGCCCAAAGACCATATTCACAATGTCAAGCTATTTTGAAAATCACATGTAGTTCGTAATAGTTTGACATTGTGAAGATGCCCAAAGATATTCCTCTATAAAATGTCTCTACATTGTGTTATAAAATGGGCTGGCACCAAGTCTAGTTAATGGATGACTGGCGCCAAATTGATTTCTTCTGACACGTCGCATCTCTTCACCAGTTTGAAATTCTGATTGTTTTTGTGAGGAAGGTGTTTCACTGACCGATTGAGTACGTAACCCATGGCGATGAGCCATCTCTGCTGATTGGACACGATATTTATGAGTGACACTGGGATGAACACGATGTAAATTGTTTCTCATTTCAATATATTCTGGTTGTAAATGTTCATCTTCTTCTTCTGATTCTACGATAGTTTCTGTGATTATAGTTGTTGCTTGACTCGTGTCTGCTGGCCTGATTTCTGATACCATTCCTGGTTCCACTTTCGCAGCACAGACGCCTAAACTCATAGGTTTAGAATCTGAAATAGGACTTGTATCTTTATGTTCAAATTTCCCTAACAAAAGTTTAACCACAGATAGATCAGAGTCTATTTGCACTGTTTCTGGTGTCAGCCTTTCAGAAACTAAGGAACTTTCCTTGGTTTCTCTATCAGTCTTATTATTCAAATCTAAATCTAGTCCAGATCTACTGGGCACATCACTATGAATTTGTGAACTTTCAGTCTTTTGACAAACATTTTTGGATGAGGCACTTTGATCGTCTGCTTTACCTTCACTTTGTTTTGATTTCTTACTGTCACTGTCAATTATTACAATTTTCTTCTCCACCTTGCGTTCTTGAGATTTCCGTTCAATATTTCGCACTACACTAATAACGGCACTTTTAGATTCTTCATTTTCCTCTTCTCCTTTGGCACTTTTAGGGCTCAACATGGAACCAACATCTTTGATATATTCCAATTCTTCTTTATTATAAGGACATTTTTCTTTTTTGATCAAAACATGACCTTGACTTTCAGAAACCTTTGGACTTTCTGACTTCAAAGAACCACTAGCCTTCTGCTCTGTTGTTTTTGTGGTGGTTGTAATATTTGGTTTTGGATTTGGAATGTATGATGAAGAAGCTAAAGTTACATTTGTTTTCGTGTCTGTCAATTTAACAACAGAGCCATCACTATCGCTGATATCCATGGCAACGTCTGTTCTCTTATGTTCATATCCTGCAAAGATAAAATTAATGTTGAATATTAGTCTAAATAAAGATTTACCCTACTGTATTTCTCAACAAACTTGATTTAATAACTAAAAAATATTGTGGTTTATTTATAAGTCTTTAAATAAAAGTATACTGAACCAACCTTCTTTATGTTTTCTAACAATTCCACATATTAATGGCACTTCTTCACTACCATATCTATAGACAGTAATATCTTCTGGGGGGCCATCTGTTGATTCATCTAGAGTTACCCCACTTATTAATACTTCTGGTTGAGATGTTTCAGGTACAATAATCTTACTCTTTACTTCCTCCTTCACAAATAATGGTCGTGGAAACATCTCACTATCTGGTTTAGGTGTTTTCATTGATGCTAAAGAAACTGCTGCACCTGTGGTAGATGATGATGCTGTTACAGATGATGCTGTAGCAACAGATCGTACTGTTACAGATGTTGTTACAGTTACAGATGATGTAGCAGGTATAGATGATGTTGCTGTTACTGATGATATAACTGATGTTGATGTTTTCGTTGTTGTTGATGTTGTGACAGGACTGTCTGATTGTAACCCACTAGGAGAGTATGTGACAATAGTTTTTCTTCTTTCTGCTCTCTTAGCCTTGGCTATTTCTGTGGCCTCTTTTAAACTGGCAGATCTCTGGATTGTTTTAGATATTTCTCTTATAGTACTTGCAATATCAGTTGGTCTAAAAAAATAAATAATAATAATTCCAAAAGGGAAATTACAGTTATTTTCAGGAAGATGATAATTCCTTTAAAAAATTGAAAGGAAAGAATATTTCTATGGACTCTGTTTTCCACATTAACCTTCACAGATTCATTGTATATATGACAAAAATAGCATGATCAAAGGGTAAAGGGTCTCAAAAGTTATTCTCAACACAGTTTTTTCTCAAAAGATCACTTACTTATTTCTCTGTTCAATCTCCATCTTTGTTTTCATGACTATTCCCTCTGTCCATTCTATATCTTCTTTATCATAAACAGAGGTAGCTCCACACTGACGTTTGGATGGTCGTTCATTTTCACCTTCATTATCCATTGATAATAACTCTGAACAACTATGTGAACACTTCATCCCAGGAGTTGTACGTTCAGTCTTTTTCACTTTTTGTGAACTTTCCAGAGTTTCAAAATCCTGAGGAGTGACAAGCTTTTTGCTGATTGGAGGATACATGTTGGCCTTAGAAGTGTCCTTAGTCAAATTACTTCCTGAATCCTTATATGTTGAGCCAGTGAATTCGTCACGAATTTTCTGCACTAAACCACTACTCCATGGAATATCTTCTTTGGCATAGATCAAATCCAAACACTGGGGTTTAACATCTCCTTCAGTCATCTCAATATTGGATGTTTGCTGATTGTCTGAAGCAGAAATGTGATCATCTACAGCTGAAGTCTGATGGACTGCAGCAGATGTTTGATGAACTGTAGCAGGAGTCTCATCTAATGCAGCAGTTTGTAGTGCAGTGGCTGGAGTGCTGCTATCAACAGGAGCCACAAGATTATTTAGAAAACTGTTATCAATTTTATGAGGATCAAAGTCAGACGCCAAAATTAAAACAGGCACCTCACATTGTTCACTGGACGGAGTTGATTCCTCATCAGATTGATGTGGTTTAATCCACGAAAAATCATCCTTATAGGTAGGATGTGAAGGCACAGATGAACTCATTTGAGCATCATAAAGTTTCTTAGTAGCAGCTTGAATTTCAACATCATTACTATCCTCCTCACTATCATCAGAAGTACTGGAATACGGCAATTCTGATCCTGCAACCTCACCAGAGGTGCCACTTGCTAGCTGATTAAAATGGTATATCCGAGTTTTAGCAGTATCAGCAGGTGGAGGGGATGGGACATCAGGTAAAGATTCTTCCATAGAATCAGCACTTCTCGAACCAGTTTCTAAATCTCTTTCCAATGGTATACTAACATTATCTACAAGGAGACAAGATATCAAAGGTTACCAAAGTTTAGATTGCAAGAGGTTACTGAAGTCAGGATTCTAGAATTTCCTCAAATGAGCAATTCCATTCGCTCTAAATTGATAGCAATTCCTTTCGCTCTAAATTGATAGCAATTCCATTCACTCTAAATTGATAGCAATTCCATTCACTCTAGATTGATAGTATTCCATTCGCTCTAAATTGATTTCAATTCCATTTTTACTCTAAATTGATAGCAATTCCATTCACTCTAAATTGATAGCAATTCCATTCAATCCAAATTGATAGCAATTCCATTTAATCCAAATTGATAGCAATTTCATTTACATGTACTATATATTGATAGCAGTTCAAAAATGTTTCTTGTCAATGAAATACATATAGGAAGAATTTCTTACCAATTGGAAACTGAGCAATCCATTCCTCCTCAGTCTTTACTTTGGGCTTACATAGGGGAAGCTCTGATGGTTCTATTCCTAAATAAGCCCCTTTGTCTAAAAAATCTTCATCATTTTCTGTTTCAATGGAACTTGATCTACTTTTAGGATACTGTTCTGATAAAGAATGAAAAGTGTGACGTTGATTGCTGAAAGAGAATAGAGTAATTGATCTGAGATATTGATATAAATGGGGATTTACATACTACTGCACGTACCTTATTTAATTAATACAGATGAGCAACAGAATGCTGTTCACAATGAGGAAAATGAATGATGTAGCAGGATAATCATATTGTTTCCATAAGTCTAACATGCATAGCCTACAACATCTCAACTTTGATTCACATCTAAAAAGAGCAGTCCAAGAGAAGCTGAATGTTTTAAACTCTTGAATGCCTTATTGCCACCATGTATTATGTAAATCACATGTTTCTATCTAAGTACCTACCTAGCAGTAAGAATTCCTTCGTAAGTTTTTAGCTGTTCCATAAAACCTGGATTTGGATTAACACACGCTCTTCTACTTTGAACATATTCATAAGCTTCATCCAAACACCATTTATTGTCTTTCATTAGGAATGCCATGCACTAAAAAATATCATCAAATATAATTATATACTCTTCAACAACAAATATGGATGTCAACTAGAAATTGATATTCAACCCTCTCTACTTACAGTATAGTATTTAGCATACGTTAACAATGACAGCCAATACCAGAGGGGCACACCAGCCATCATGTAAACATAATTTCATTTCACTAACAGAACTACTTTACAAGTTCTATTATGCTTTCTGTAGCCCTAACTGTCAACAACAAAACTCAAAAGACATCATGCCTACAAGTTTTTTTTAAATATTCTGTAAAATTTCTACTTTACGGAGCCCCTTAAGCGCAATTTTCAACACTTTTTACTATTTAGTTTAAACGAAATAGTTACTTCGTTTAAACGAATTAATTATTTCGTTTAAACGAATTATTAAATCGTTTTTAATTTTTTCGTCTATTTCGTTTAAACAAAATAAATGATGTTTTTCGTTTAAACGAAATAATAAATAAATATGTTTACAATTGCGCCTTAGGGGCTCTGTACTAAAAGTACAGTAAAGCCTTTTCTCAAATATGAGAATCTTCGTCATGTTCTATCTCAATTCCAGACAAGGTATGCTGAACGCATGAAACCAGAAGCCCCTCTGCAAATGGGTTTGTCAACTAAGTCTGTTGTTATAGAATCAAGCACCTTAAGATTTTCCTCATTAATTTTTCTCTTTTTGAAAAATAACCTAGCCAAGTCCATAATATTGAATACAAACTAAAATCTGACTTACAGTTGAAGCTGAACGACTGATTCCCATCTTACAATGAACTAAAACCTTGGAGTTATTTTTACGAGCTCTATCAATAAAATCATAGGTTTTATTCCAATGTTGTAAGAGATCAGATTCAGGTCTATCATAGAGTCGTATATTTTTATATTGAAACATTCCTTGAAAGAAATTATCAATCTCTCTTGTGATATTTAATATATAACCAATACTGAAAAAAAGAAACAAGAAAACAAAATTTCAAAAATGGACGTTTAGAGATCTTTCAAGATATGTGAAGAGAATTGATGAATACTCAATACCATATATGTCAAAAAATTTCCTTCAGCTAATATTACTTCAAATGGATACAAATAATCTATTTTTGGTTAATCCATGGACTAGCTTTTGAAAAGAACTTAGGTGGTATCCTAGATGGATGTTACTGTTTTATTTTTTTGAATGTTCTAGAGTTCAACACAACATGACTGAACATATTCACAATTACAAGAACAGAACTCACCCAAGACTTTTCAGTTCTTTAACATTAGCAGCATTCCATTCGGATCCTAAGTAGAGAAAATCTGTAATTTGTGAAGCTTGATCCATCTGTCCTAATATTCTCATAGTTTCTAAATCAAAGAAGGCTCTGTATGGCATAACACTAATACCTAATTTCTCTTCTACAGCCAGACGTAGCTAAAAAACAAAAAACAACCAAAATTGCGTAATCTTTTTATGTTAATGTCGCTAAAATTACAACTAAAACTGTGTGGTAAAATACAGCACATGAAAATGCCATAATATAGTAAGGTCAACTCAATAAACACTTCATTAGTTTAGTTTAGTTTATAAGTTGGACATAGAAATGAGGCAAGACCATTTTATGATAGAATGAAGGATTAATGAAGGATTAATGAATGATACATACTGATTTACTGGTGGCTTCATCTAAATCAACCTGCATCATCACCTCATATAGCTCTTGAGTTATAGATTTCTTAATTCTAGCTGTTTCTTCACTAAAAACATAAATACAAAGTTGAATTCATTTATCATGTTATATGTATTACACAGCAAATCATAGGAAAAATCAAAAATCCTGTTATTCCAATTATCCAGCTGATTCATGACCAAGCCATTTCCAAGATGACTATAGTAAAAGAATAGTAAATACAATAACAGTATGAGTATATAAATATGTTTTGTCCACTTATAGCACAGAATCTTTAGGAAAAAATAGCTGCTTATCTGCAGATACATAGGTAATAACTTACTCATCATTAGCATCTTCTGAAGCTATCAAAGTATCTAAATTTACTAATACACCTTCCATAAAATGCCTGAAAGGATAAAAACAAACCAACATAGAGAGATTTATTGAGAGAACCACTGTCATATGCAGGGGCGTAGCAACTGAACTTGTCAATTCGTTGGCAATGGCTAGAGCCATCAGTAAAACTAATTGGTGAAGCTTTTGTTGGTTATGTTTTTGTTTAATTGCTCGTCTGCATTAATAATGAATAGAGATATATAATTATGATAATGGTGTTTATGTGGAAATAATTATATAAGTTTAAACATTAAAACACGAAAAGATGGATTATGTATGTACGTACGTATGTATGTATATAAGTTTGTTTCTATGAAGGAGCGTTTAAGACCACATAGTCGTCAGTAAAACTTATACACCATCAGTCAAATTGAGTATGCTACATATCTGTTGCCAATCTGTTATGTTTCATTTTTATCTATTGTTAACTAAATTAGTAATTGTACTCCATAAAATTGTTCTCTTTATTATCATCAATTACTAAATACCACTAAGAATTTCTAAACATTGTGCTCACAGTAAATTTTCATGAATCAAGACAGGGGCAGACAATACTGTCCACATAGACATAAAAATAACCTTACCATTGACTCATTCTATCTTTATCTGTGATATCTATTTTACTGTTATAATAGGACAGCCAGGTATGTGATAAGCCTTCTGATGTATATAATTTTTTATCAGCCATTTTTATAGCTAGTTCAATACTCTGTATAGCAGACCTAAAATAAAATATACATAAACATCTTTAGATTAAACGGGGACAATCCTCTGCACAATAGATAATGGTGTTTGATTGGTGAGTTCTGCTAGCTCAGAATTCATGGAATCAAGTTGGATTAGGGCACTGAACATGTTCAAAATAATACAAATTTTGTACTTATAACTTGACTGCCCTAGCCACCTTTCTTGCATCATGGAATAATGTAAATGGAGTGATTTGATTGGATTGTACGATAGCGAATAGAGCCAATCAGAGAATGTCTCTAGACACAAAGCCAAAATTACAGTATTTCTGGCAAGGGTTCTGAATGGCTGTATTCGCTATCATACAATTCAATCAAATAATTGCATTCCAAGTAGTTATTGATATAAGAATGAAATATAAGCTATAACTTACCACATAACTTGAACAGATACAGGTTTAAATATAAAGTGATGACCATCATGTACTAGTATAGTAAATCCACTGTAATAAACATTACATATACTATAATTACAAGATCAATATAAAATATTCTATGATAGAACCATTTTTGCTTCCTTTTAAGTAACTGTTTCTGAAAATTTCTGCAGAATAAAAGTTACAACTTATCTGTTGCTTAAAGATATTATAGTGTTTAGCTCTTTATTTGAGGTCCAAGGCTGTTTGTATTCAGTACTTACCCATCTCCATCCAGTCTTATTTTGGTTCCTGATAATATAGGTATAACAAGTCCTAGACTGACTGTATCTCGGTAATCAATACCTAGTATAACCGCTTCCTCTTCATCTTGTCTACCAATAGTCGATACTAATGCTAGGTACCGGTGATCTGGACTGGCTGAACTATTCTCTAATTTAACAGCCTGGAATATAATATTTGATTCTATGTACTCATCAACTTTACAACACAACCTCTTAATCAAGAAATAGTTCACTTTATCCAAATACTTATTTTTTTATTTTTTTTTTATTTACGAATACAACTTTTAATAATATAAGAGGGGTAGTCAGTATTCATAATTTTCACAAGTTTTGTGTATGCGTTAATTTACTAAATAACCACATGTTGATTGACCAGTTTGACAAAAAATTAAAAAGGAAAGATCTTAAAAGAAAACACTGGTCTGGATCTTAACCAGTACTCTATGTAATTCTACGTAATAAGCACAAAAATGCACATCAATTCAATGTAAGGACTGACATATCTTGACTATCGTTAAACAGTGCTGGATGATCTAATATGAAAAGAAATACATGGGCACCAGCAATATAAACAGTACTCAGTACCAATATAGAAAGACAAGAGTGTAATATGATAACATACCATCTTCATTTTATCTTCAGGTCGTAGCAAGTGTAACATCGCCTGTAAGTGATGCTGCATATCACCTACAATAACAAATTTATATTACATTACTCATAAGTTTTAGTTAGAAAAAAAAAACAAATATTGGGTGGATGAGACAAAACAAAAATATATGTCTCCCTACCTTTGTTTTGACAAAAATTTTGTTTTTAAAAATTCTATTTTAAAGTGTTTCAACTTAAGAAGGTAAGTTTTTATGAAATTATGTTGTTGGCTTTGATATTATTTCGTACACAAACACAGCCTGTTTAACAGTTTACTTACCAAAAAAGTTGTCATTTTGTATATTCTCTGTGAAGGTCAATTTTATACCTTATACCTAGTCATTGATTACTAAATAAATCTCTGATGCTATGGATTTTTGATATTTCTGTAGCAAACAAGATTATCACTACCCTTATTCATATTATTAATAATATTTACTTAGAAAAAGTTTTTTAAAAAAAAGGTGGTTCAAAAAGAAGTTTTGAATAACAACTAGAAATCTATTGGCAATCTTTAAATATCCTATTATATTCATTTCAAGAGAATTGATTATTGAATGTTTGAAACATTAGAGACAACAAACAAAACGTTATTGACTAGTTTTTCCTTGTCAACAAAATCAACAAATGGAGGGAAAAACATCAGGTGAATATTGACATTGAGAGTAATGGCTGATGTTTTTAAAAAGGTCTCTCCATCTTTGTTTTCACACAAACGATTTCAATGTTTAAGACTAAACCAACTCTAATTCTTTGACTCAAAATCTAAAAATCTGAATTTTGACTTAAAACACCATGCTTGTAATCTGATGTAAAGTTCGCAATGACATTTTGTATTTGTGATGGCATTACACAGGGTTATCTATTGCAGCCCTCTTTATCTTGTTTATTTGTAAAAGATATTGATGGTTCGTGAGAATGTGTTAGTAGTAGAAGAGATAATCGTTATAGATTTGACAAAATAGAGTGATGTTATCATGTGACATTATAACAAAATAATACCACAATCTTTATCTCTGAACTTAGTTTCCTCGTTTGATTGAAATGACAGATCAACTTGACCTATTCATTTTCTCTCTAAAATATTGTGATGTCTGCTGTGACTTTACATAGAAATTGTATGACAGTTCCAGAGCAATGATGAAACTCAACTCGTTCATTACATTAAGTTATTGCACTTCTATTCCTGTAAGCACTTACTGTCGCCCTTATATCTTCCTGACAATAAATGCTAATTCAGACCTACCTCCATGATTTTTCTTTGATGTTTTTCTACTGCAATCACTCTGAGGTAAAATTAAAGCGGCTCCTTTTACAGTGAAATAACTCTCACTCAAACTAGAAAAATAAAAACATTCATAAGAATTTTTAAATAATGATTAAAAGAAAAAAATGTTTCAGCGCAAATAAAAAATTGCCAGTTTCAAATATTAACGAGTCAATTACAAATACATCCAAAATATTCCTAAAATTAACAATTTGGAGACAAACTGCAATAAACAAAAGGTTATACTCCATTAAATCTAATAGTAATTTGTGTATGTCCACCCAATTTTCAAATTGGTACATGTAACATGATTATCTGGTGTAATTTTAGGTGTAGTTGAAATTGTTTTAACCTTTCAATGAACTGATAAGTGCAAATTAAAGGTTTATTTACTCAAATAATCTCATATAAATAATCATATACAGTTATCAATGTAAACATGAGTCTTTTCTAATCTATTTTTTTTTTACCAACAAATAAGAAAATGAAGCTGAAAAACGTTGAAAACCACACAATTTTGTCTGCTAGTGGCTAATTTTTTTTGTTCTTCAAAACATGTGTGAGTTACTACGACACCCACAGTAAGGATTCAGTATAATTATTAAACTTATGGAGCAAGAACCGCAGTTCATGAAAAAGTCTTCGAGATCTATTAGTCATAGAGTCACTACATACATGTTTGAAATTTGTTAACTCTGGAACTTTCATTCCAATTTCCCCAAAAAATATTATTTGCATGTATAGTGCACATCTTTTTACCCTGAGTAGGGATGTCAAACTTAATTGACTGCGACAGAGGTGATACATTTAAAACATGTTCAATTACAAGTCCTCTTTTGTCAATTGATCAGTAACCAAGGTTTTACTGTATATATACAGAGACTAATTATTAATAAGCCTGAACCATTTTAATGCTACCTCCAAAGCATTAATTAAAGCATAATATAAGATATAGGATTATACTTGATTATATAGATCTATTTCTAGCATTAATTAAATAAATAAATAAATAATATAGCTCACAGCAAAATATAATATGATATATAATGATTAATAGAAATATAGAGACTAAAATAATCTCTAATTTATAAATGATGATTATATCAATGACTAATACAATGCTCTAATATTGTCTCAACAGATTACAAACTTCATTCTTTTTACTAATATGTAATATATAATATCTACTAATGTACCTTTGTATCACTAATAAATGTGAAGTGTTGGGGGCCATAGTCCTCTTATTCAGAGAGCCTGTACAATTTGGGAAAAGAGGGCAATACTAGAGAAACTATAGCAGTTAACTTCCTCCTCCTGAATAATTCTGGAGAACAAAGAATCAAAATAACAGATTTTATTTCCTGTTGCCCTTAAAAAGATACTTCAAAATTCATGTCCAAAAGAATACTAATTTGGCCATATTTATATTAACATGTTGAAGAAACACTTTCTAAGTGATTAATGTGAAACAGTAGATAAGTGCATCACTGCATCTAATTATTGAATTTGAACAAAATCTTTAATTTGGCATCAAATCCATGTATATCATATCCTGAAATGAAATCATCTGAGCATTTTAGATTTCCATTTGGACATGACTGGCTGAGCATGTTCTCAAATAATATCAGTAAAAAAAAATCACTTTACCTGTTAAGAAACTCAATAACAAACATTTAGAAGTAATAATGTTGACTATAATAATCGAGTTTTAAATACACTGCATAGTGGTGGAGTATAATATTTATAACTTATTTATCTTATAGAAATATTTCACACCTCACTGACACATAGCCTACTTTCATTTTAAAAACAAGTAGGCTAAGATGACTGGTATGCTGACTATGTAGTCTGTCACTTTAAGTCTCAAATTAATATCCCCATTTCATTAGGTTAAAGACCTTAAGTAATATTATGGTTTTAAAAATAATTTCAAGCAAAATGAAATAAATTAGGGCAAGATAATTAAAATTTGATGAATATCTAGAATAAAAGACATCTAAATATTGAGTTTTATTGGCTTAAAAATCAAATATTCATAGGAAATGTTAAGAAATTACATCCAGAAATGTATCATATGAACCAAAAGTCCATATTGCCTTTCTAAAATGTCATGAAATTTAATACGATATTTCAAAACAAATTGGAATGGTACAACTTTTAGCAATTAGGTGTAGAACAATGCATTATTTCATTGTCAAAATGCCACTGCTCGGCTATATCGGGTCAGACTGGTTTTCACTTCAGAAAAGCTGAATAAATTCTATTTATGAGATCATTTGAATCAACTAATATAATACTGAAATTTACAGAAAAAAATTACACTAAAAATTCAATACAGAAATACAATAAAAAGAAAATCAAGCAAGAAAAGATACTATAAGTTGACATATTTTTAACAGGGAAATTATAAAGACTTTGAACTAATAACCAAGTAAGGAGGTCAAACAGCAAACAGGATACAAAGAAATATGATGAGGTGAAAGGGGTTAATGACTCTTATATGATTTAAATCTTTTTTTAATGATGATTTAATAATTACAGTGGTGTAACCTATTTTCGTGGATATAAGGATTCAACACCGAATTTCGTCAAAGTTAAAAAAACGAAATTTTTTTTTTATGTCTTAGATGTTTCCTCAGATATTCTACAAAATAATTAAAATTGGTTTATTTCGATTTTCTTTATGAATTCTTCACTTTGACCCATATTTCATGAGCAACCAACTCGGTAACAGCGGCAGAATGCATCACCTATTTTCGTGTACAATGTTTGATCTATAAATAAGTCTAGAAAAACACGTTGTATGGATACCGGGTGGTATAATTAACTTCTCTTAGTATTTATCTTTAATATCAATTCATTATAACTAGTGACAATTCCTTCAAAGAACCACGATTTAAAAAAAAAAATAGTTTCTGACAAAATAAGATACGTAGCGTGATTTATTGCTAAAAGTCACTGAAGCAACATAAGAATATGGTCCACTTTGTGTTCCATAGAAATTTTCTGCTGACACGGAATCCGCTAGTTGATCACTTGACTTCATTCGTTGGACTACATTCCAGCAGACGACACTTGGAATTCCGATTATAAGGGATTATAAGGAAATTCAGCCGATAAAAAATGGTGATGTTTGGTAATAACTGAAATCCGCCATTTTGTATTTGTCAAATTATACATTAATGCATTTTACCTTGCTTAAAACTACTGGATTCATTCTACTAGCTGATATTGTAGAGAAAACCCATGTTTATTAAAACAAACTAATGTGGAGGTCGCGCAAGGTCACTCATGTAAATTATTAATCATTTCCGGAAATGCACGAATAATAGGTTTCCACGAAATTAGGTTACTCGACTGTAATAAAAAAAAAACTCTTTTACTATATTAAGGTAGATGACTCTCATATCTATTTTTGACAGACATTTATGTTAGAATTATAGACTAGTTGTGAGTCAACAAGTTCTTTGCAAGCTATCAGTTGTCAACTTAGCTATCCAAGTCTTAAAGGTTTTAGTCAAGATAGATATCATAGGCTATCTATGAGTCAACAGGTTTTAATCATCATACTGTCAAAATAGCTGTCATGGGCTATACATGAGTCAATAGGCTTTTATTAATTTTCTAACTGTCAAAACATCATATCATGGGCTGTCTATGAGTCAACAGGCTTTTATCAATTTGCTTACTGTCAAAATAGCTGTCATGGGCTGTCTATGAGTCAACAGGCTTTTATCAATTTGCTTACTGTCAAAATAGCTGTCATGGGCTGTCTATGAGTCAACAGGCTTTTATCAATTTGCTTACTGTCAAAATAGCTGTCATGGGCTGTCTATTAGTCAACAAGCTAACTGTTAAATCAGCTGTAAGAAGCTCACCAAGTTAATGAGCTAAATCTTGATCATATTATCTGTCAAAGAAATGAGGCAACAAGTTTATTCAGTCAGTCACAAACTTGTCAAGTTAGATATGAAAGACTATATAAAAATGTTTATAGCTTTGTGCCAACTGTAAAATTGGCTATCAAAAAGCCTAGGTATAAGCCAGCAAATTATTATCTAGTTAACTATGAAATTAGATATCAAAGGGTAGGTAATATTTAACAAGATATTAATTTGTCACACACAAAACATTGAAGGAATAAATGGCTTATTTTTATAAAAAGTTATATGATCTGAAGTCACATTAAAAACTGGAAGATATTTCACACTACTAAATGCTAGAAGCATTTGTGAAATTTCTGAAAAAAGTCTCAGTCTATTGTATAATATGACAGACTCTTGCTAGTTCTAGCAGCAATACATCACCTTACTATCACAAGTAATTGATGGTACATCTTAGCATCGATAAGAAAAAATAAAACTTCTAGCACTAAATAGATTTCTGAACTTATAGCTTATCAATCAATATATATATGAAAAAATCAAAGAGAAAGTCAACATAAAAAAAACTGAAAGGAATGCCAGGGGTCACTATGTCTTTACAATGCCAATGGAGAGAGAAGTAATTCAAATAAATCTGAAGTTCTCTTTGAATTTTTGAAGGTTTTCAAAAGCATTTTCTACTCTTTGAATGTGTAGAAATAAGACCTAGAAAGTGTGTTTTGAATTACAGAACCAATCTAAATTAGTGTGTGATATGGAAATGTGAGGATTTCAATACCTAGAAAGGTCTTAATGCCTAACTACTTGAAAAACATATAACACTGGCCTTGACATTCCCTTTAACATGCTATGAAATCTGTAACCAATATCAATAATGTCACCAAGTCAATCTTCCCCTGCATATTGGGCAGATTTTGTGTGTGTGAAATAATGGCCACCAGTATTCAAAAGGGTAATGATACTTATTATTTCACAAAAGAAATAATTCTAGTTAGTAACAGAACTATGGCAAATAAAATAATTCATATCAAATTTTCAGGCTGATAAAAATACTACAATTCATAGAATTCAATTCCAGTTATCTTATAAATAGCTAATAAGTGATATTACTTTCAATAAACTAAGTAATTATTATCTTTAAGCATTAATATTTCATTCAAGTTAATTTCTTTTAAAAGTTAATTTCAATTTAAAATCTAAGTTA